TCAGCTATCGATTAGCTCCCTGCGGCCTGCTAACGGAAGACCAGATCAGGAGGACATTCGCAAGCTTCAGTACACTTACGGGTATTATCTCGATAAGTGTCTGTACAAAGAGGTTAGTAAACCGATGACACTACTGGACTGGAAGCTTACCTGAGGAATAGGTCGCCAATCTCTACTCCGACCACCCCGATACGTGCGTTGAGTTTCTCGGAGGCCGATACAATGGCAAAGAGGGCGTTAAGAGACTCTACCTCGGTCGCTTCGCCAATGCCTTCGTAGCCGGGCGCAACGGCCCCGTCCATGGCTTTCTCCTCGATCATCCACAGATGCAGGGCATAGTCGACGTCAGCGCAGAAGGCACGCGAGCCAAAGGTCGCTTCCGCAGTATGATGTCGGCCGGTACCCACGATAGCATCAAAGATACACACCCTCGCGGCCTGGTACAATGGTGGGAAGGTGGCATATACGAGAATGAATACATAAAAGAGAATGGGGTGTGGAAGATCTTCAGGTTGAAGTACTTCCCCTTCTGGCACGCGACCTTCGAAAAGGGGTGGGCGCACACCAAGCCAAACTATATACCTTTCCTCTCGAAGACGTACCCGGAGGATCCAAATGGGCCAGACGTTCTTTGCGATCACCCGATGCTCTGGCCTGACACGCGCGTCGTGCCATTCCACTACGATCACCCTGTCACTGGTGAGCAAGTCGCCGACGATGATCTTAGAGCTCCACACTTTGGTCAGGATGCTTCAACAAGCACTCCTCCACTCGTGCTGAGCAAACCAGAATCTGATTCGTAAAGGGCCGCTTAGCTGGGAATGTCGAATGACTTTATGACCATACTTCGCGATGCATGTGTCGATATGGCGCATGAAGGTGTAGCCCTTCTTTTGCATAATGCGATTGGAATGACTTGAATATTCGAACAAATAATACTAGGTCTTCCGTGCTCGCATCAACTCATCAGTAGTTTTTTTTTTGGTGTCGTACAACGACAACGCGGCCACGGCTTCAGAGCTCTTTGCATCCTACTCTATGCAGTCTCACAGATTTATTGGAAGCCCAAAGTTACATCGCTAATGATGCGCAGCAAGCCCTAAAAACAGAGCAAGTGTACGCAATCAAAGTCGCCACAATTTGATTTGCGCTACAGCCAGGTTTCCCGGTAAAGCATCCCTCTCAGCGGCTCGGAGACGGAGCAAGAAGACCTATCATGTCCAAGTCAGCTGCGTGCTATGATACGTCATAGCTATATTCGGACGAAAAACTCTCAGTCCAGCGCTACGGCTATGTCCGTGTCCAAAGGGGTACCATCGTCCCATATTCAGGACTCGATGCTGTGTCGGACCAATAGTGCCGCTTGCGATCCCGGGCGGTCGCATCAATCCGGGCACAACAACCCCTGTAACCATCCCCAACTACCCCGCAAGTCCACCTCCCCACATCCATACTCGTAACTTTCGAGCACGGCAGTACGTCTGGTAGCGAACCAATGCGTCTTCTTGCCAGAACGAAACGATGTAATATGATGGACGATTTGTATCAGACCGCCTTACTGCCAGGCGGGAGGGCACAGCACGTACGCGATGGCACACATATTTTCTCTCGCGAACCCTGCCCCATCAGCGTACCATGAAGGGAGCCGATCGGGTGACCAAGTCAAGTTCCCAGATAGTGGCTTCTTCCAAGGCTTCAACAAACCATCGCGTCTCGAAGCCGATATCTTTGAGCTCGAGACGACTGGTACAGTGAGTATACTGTCCTGTAAAGACAGAGCACGAAGCTCAGTTCTTTCAGATTCCCAAAGACATAAACGGAACTTTTTTCCGTATACAACCAGACCATCGGTTCCCGCCCTTGTACGAAGAAGACATACACTTCAACGGCGATGGTTCGGTTTCAGCATTTCGATTCGAGAACGGTCACGTCGACTTCAGACAGCGATACGTACATACCGATCGGTTCAAGGCGGAAACGAAGGCGCGCAAGTCTCTACTTGGCCGATACAGAAACCCATATACCGATAACGAGATGGTGAAGGGCATTATTAGAACAGCATCCAATACCAACATCATCTTCTGGCGCGGAGTGCTGCTAGCCATCAAGGAAGACGGCCCACCTTTCGCTATGGATCCAGTCACACTAGAGACGGTCGGCCGATATGACTTCGACGGTCAAATACAATCACCGACATTTACTGCGCACCCCAAATTCGATCCAGACACTGGAGAAATGGTATGCTACGGCTATGAAGCTGGAGGTAATGGGTACGATGCCAGTTGTGACATCGTAGTATACACGATCGACAAAGATGGGAAGAAAACCGAGGAATGCTGGTACAAAGCGCCGTTCTGTGGGATGATACACGATTGCGCTATCACGAAGAACTACTTGATTCTGCCACTCACACCAATCAAGGTCAATGCTGAAAGGCTCAAGAAGGGCGGCAATCACTTTGCGTGGGACCCAGACGAAGACCAGTGGTACGGCATCGTGCCTCGTCGGAATGGAAAGCCAGAGGATATTGTCTGGCTACGCGCCGACAATGGTGTGTATGCTACTAGTGACATCCTGACATGCGCTGACGATCTCAGGCTTCCATGGCCACGTCGCTGGCTCCTACGAAGACTCGTCCGGAAACATCGTGGTCGACCTGACCATAGCTTCAGACAACGTCTTCTTCTTCTTCCCACCAGACAGCCAAGCAAACACACCCACGACGTTACTCCAACGCAACAAGCTGGTCTCTGACACTTACCGCTGGGTCTTTGATCCCCAAACTCCCACCAACACGCGGGTACAACCTCATAAACTCTTTGGCATCAACGGCGAGTTCTCTCGCATCGACGATAGAGTTCTGACGAAGAAGTACAATCACTTCTGGCAATGTAACATCGACCCGAGCAAACCGTATGATTTCCCTAAGTGTGGCCCGCCAGCCGGTGGTCTCTTCAACGTCTTGGGACACTATGAGTGGGACAGTGGGAAGAAGGATACCTTCTGGGCAGGACCGACATGTACGTTCCAAGAGCCTGTCTTCGTCCCGAAGGCCTCGTCTTCTTCATCAGACTTCGTGGAAGGCGAGGGGTATATCATGGCTCTACTCAACCATCTCGATGTCTTGCGCAACGACATCCTCATCTTTGATGCGCAAAACCTCGAGCAAGGGCCGCTGGCAGTCATTCATCTACCTGTCAAATTACGTCTAGGTCTGCACGGTAATTTCATCGAGCAGAAAGACATTGATGAGTGGGCTGAGAAGCGCAAGGAGGGCGGCGAGGTTGGACCAGCGGTAGCAGCGCAGGAGATGTTGCCATGGCAGAAGAAGATGGCAGAGGAGGAGGGTCTTGGAAGCGCGGTGCCAGTACCAGGGAACAACTTTCTCAATGGGTCGAACGGTGCGATTGGGTTCAACGGTAATTGATTTGTCGGTGAGGCTTCACTGGCAAAGAGAAACTACTAATGCAAACCGATCTCGAGCGTGCTCTTGTATCTGTCTCCCCTATTTGAACGGTGCAATTAACTGAAATCCGCTAGGCTGAATCGCTTGGGTGTATACGAATAGCAAGCACAAACTGATTGCTCTAAATTAGCATAGGCACGAGTCAATACTGTCTCTTCCAAGTCACGCAATCGCCTCTGAGTAGTTCCACACTGGCCTGTATGGCAGCCTTACGGACTGGGGAAGATCGGTTGTCAACTCCGACTACAATTTGTTGACTCCTCAAGAGCTTACTAGAGTGAATGGAGTGCACAGACATCGAGCCCTCTTTCCTACCATTCTAGTGATGGGTCCACCACTAGTGTTCAGGTGGCGATGAAGGCACCCGCCCCCTTATATAAACCAGCTCATTTTCATGACCACTGACCCATTATCACCAGTCCAGCTGGTCAACTATATACCGACTTACCAGAAATTCGTTTCGAGCATAGCCGTCTATCCACTAAGCACGATCGAGATCAACCAGAGATCTTTCTCCAATCGACCTCAATCATGGCCGATCAGTCCTTGCCAGAAGGACCATTGGATACCACTCCAGCTCCGTCCTCCGGCATGAATCACAAGGCCTTGCGCAAAGCCCGAAAATCTGCAGGAAGAGTAGCGAGGAGCAGTGGTGTGTTCATAGCCAACGAGCAAGAAGCTTGTGTCGAAGCATCACCATATATCAGGATGCGGTCAATCGAAGATACGGTGCAGTACGAGTGCTGCATCTGTGGAGATGATTACCCCTTTTCCGAAGGCGTCGCTCACTGCACAGAACACTTCATGTGCAACGACTGCGTCGTCGACGCCTACAACGCTGCCCTCGCCGACACAGAAGCCTTTCCAGCCCGGTGCTGTACTCCACTTCCACGTCGTCTTGTAGAACACTTGCTGAGCCCAGAGGTCCTCGAGACCTACTCACTCAAGGCGCAGGAGTACTACACACCACGCGCCATTCGTGTTTATTGTGTCAATGAGCGGTGTCGCTCATTCATCCCGAGATCTCATGTGGACAATAGCCACGCTCTCTCCACAGTGGCACACTGTGGATGCGGGACTAACACCTGTGTTGGATGCCAGCATGTGTGGGAAGGTCAAGAGCACAGGTGTGTAGTGTCGGACGAGCCAGGGATGAGGCCGAAGTGGATGCCCGAGTACTCGAGCAGCTGTCGCGCAAAGTCATGTCCAAACTGCCGGGTCTGGATGGAGCACAAAGAAGCTTGCAACCATATGACCTGTCATTACTGTCGTCATGAGTTCTGCTTCGTCTGCCTACTACCTTGGACCAACGAAGGTTTCCATCAGGGTTGCCCGTCTTACGGAGATCCGGTCGAGGGGTATGATGAACAAGGGTATGAGCTTGGTGCTCGCGGCCTGCATCGAGATAGTGGCTATAGCCGCGCAGGACTCAATCGACTTGGCCAGCGACAGTTAAGCCACGCCATTAGGCAGCATGATGCAGCTCATGATGGCGATGGCTATGACGATCCTGACTTTGATGATCATGGCTACCATGATGAGTTGGATGATGACATAGACTATGGCGACGAACAGGGTGACGAAGATGATGAAGTGGAGTACGACGAGGATGATGCAACAGACGAAGATACGTCTGATGATGAGATTGAGACCGATCCAACAGATCCGGCGCAAGTGGTCCACGACCCCGAGGATGAAGCCGAGCAAGATGGTCAAACTAATAACGTTGACGACGATCAATCTGAGCTGAGCTGGATCGACGGGCCTCAGCATCATTTCATCGAAGACGGCGAAGTAGACGCAGCGCAGAGCGAGGCTAACGTAGCTACTCCTGCAGACGATGTCGTTCCAGTCGGGACAACAATTGTAACTCCACCAGGTCCAGCACCACCACGCCCACGGCCGTCACCCCCATCAGATATGGCTCGACAAATGATTCGCCTGCGCCGACGCGTCCCAATTCTGGCCCCGAGGCCACACGACGCTAGCGTCATCTTCGACGGCGGTACTCCGAGCTTCCTGCAGCTCAACTGTATCCACTCGTGGCATCGCAAGATGCTCTATACGACAGAGTATAGCTACTCGCGCTGCAAAGGATGTACATATCGTGCGAATAGTTGGACAAACTTCTGCTCTATCTGCGGGCTGGTCGCTTGCGATTGGTGCTCACAAAGCTTCCGCTACCGATTCTTGGCCGAATGGGAGTGTGCGGCGAGTATGGTGGATGTCCTCATTTGGGCAGAGAAGGGCGTGATACCATTCAATGTTGAGCGTCGCCAAGAATTGGAAAAGGTGGAGGACGAGATTTGGACGGTTTGCGACGAAGACACGCTGGGTCTCGCGAGACTGATCAAGGTTTTCGATGCTCAGCTATCAGAGCTACAGCCTTTTCTATACTATGATTTTGGAATAAGTTCGTTGTTCGAAGAGCTGGAGCTGGAGATGCGGAAGGGCTACTGGGCTGTCACGGAGGAGGATGTGGGTATACCTGGGCTCACCATGACATTCGACCTGGCGAGGAACTTCTTTGCACCATTGCGCTGGGATGAATCGACATAGCCACGTACAGCGAAGGAGTCCGGCAGTGCGATGATAATTGAATCACTACCGAGATCTGCAATAGCACGTAGCAATGATTTTAAGAAACCTGTAGACGCCTAATGGAACGTCGAGGTTCGCCTAGATGTGACGCGCAGTGATGACGTCATAGCGTGGCATTTTCGCGCGTCACCATCTCAGGGCCGTCTTCCAACCTCCTCCCATCAAAATCAACACGACAATAGGTACGACAAGACAGCTGCAAGTCGCTAGGCATCATCCAGTTTTTCTCCTCAAGCTTTGCTTCTATGGCATTACCTCCAGTCTCATTCGTTGCGTTTACGTACATTGTCCACCTGCCTAGCTTTATGCCTGCTATGTTCCCTCCTTCTGTAAGATCGGTGACGTGGGCTCTTTCTTCAGCGGGTGGGGAGCTCTGAGCGTACCGTCATATCTAGTTCAGGGCACCAGTTCCGTGCGTCTGACAGACTCTCGCGTAACTCTCTTCTTCAGTACACTGCATGAACCTGTTTATAAGTCAACACGGAAGCGAGCGCAATTGTACACAAGATCGAAAGAGACTTCATTTTGAGTGAAGGAGCCAGATTCATTGCCAACCGCCAACTTCTCCGTCACAAGAAATTCCTGATGTTACTCCACGATTTGGTATATATTTGGTACACTCAGCAAAGACGGGAATCACTGGGGGCTCTTGTGCGCCGTACTCTCCAGTACCATCTTGGATACTGCCTGACTGCAAGTTGAACACTTCAACAAATTGTTGTCTGTCACATATGGGTAGTATAACATTGATTGGAAACTACATCAAGACGACCTCGGCGCAAACATGATCATTCAGAACAAGACTTATCATCACTGACCATATCACACCATCATAGCTCCGTGCATATCCTCGCGAACAGCACTCATGCGCCTGCTACGCGCTTTGTCAGGTGTCTGCATACCGTCGGAGTACTGCTCCCCACTCAAACGATGACGATTGAAAAGCGGTGGAAGCAGAAAATTTTGTAGTGAACGGACGCGTACGTGCGTATCATCGGCGTGGTATGATGACGGCGCGCGAGATGAGGGAACTCGAATTGGCATTGCAGCCCCGAACGGCGACGTTGGGATGAAGGAGTAGCGGAAGGAGGGGTGTCGGAAAGTAGTTGGGTCTGCTTCGTACAGTTTGTCGTCATTGAGGGCCTGGGGACCTCGCGTTGTGAAGGTCGCGTTTGTAGAAGGGTGTTCCAGACTGTCTTTCTTCTCTCGGTTCCTGTTGATTGATCAGTAAACTTCTCGGTTGCTATTTGAACATACTGACCTGCAGTTCTCGCAATGACGTGACGTGGTCTTCATTCTGAATGGGTACATTTCCAATGTAGCCATGACACCAATGCAGGTCAGTGCCATCATAATACCGGGATGGAGTCCGTAGAACCAGAATTCGAGCCAGGAATGCTTATCAAAGGTCTTCATTGTGATGATATGTGAGAGCGTGGTTCGCGGCTCTAGATCAGTTGCCAAAATGGGGCGATTGAAGCTGCTGCTGCGATTGGGAAGCACCAAGCTGATGTCGTGGGTCCGAGTGAGTCACTTTAACTCCCCCGATCTCTACAACCAACAGTTCGGCGACCTGCCCGTCCCGCAAGGATCCTGCCGTCCCACGCGGCGGTGATTTATCACACTGCGGGGTCTTTATGCGAGGCTGAGGCAGTGTTCCGTTGCCACTTTGGGACTGCACTGGTCTCCCGGCGTCTTTGTATGCCGTGATAGGTTGGATATTGTGGTGACTTGGTTCTTGATTCGTGGGTGATCAGGAATTGAATTGATCATCCTGATCCAACTGCCCCGGTCGGTAAGGTTGGACGGGGTTCGAAGGCTTTGAAACACCACCAGAATCCGTCGTGGGGTGCTACACTTCGGACACTCCGATAACAGGCCATTTGAGTTCGTCCGAGCAATGGGTACTAGTTGAATTCCGCGACGTAATGAGTTGTAGAAGTCGAAAATGTGATCTCAAGCTTAGCGAGAGAAAGGTTCGTTACATCTCAAATGAAGGCTGTTGTCGAAGACATCTTCCCGTTTCCTCACACTCATACAAGGCCTTCAAAGGGAGATTCTGCGACATAACGGACTCACCGGACGAAGCCACCAGAATGCCGCGATCTGGTCTGAGATTACGTTGGGATGAAAGCAAAGCACGATGATCTACTCCGAACCTGTACTTGGGTCGTTCTTCTCGGCGAATGATGACGTCCAAAAGATATGTGATACTGTCGAGTGCGCAGCCTGGATTTCGAACGCGGTGATTCTTCTCATGGGATCGGTGGTGTGCCATCCAATAGCATACCAAGTTTTGTCGGGCGTAGGGCGTCCTGGGGGTGTCGAGTTGGGGCTCAGCAGGCATCTAGGTGCATCGCGGGCGGACCGCAGCTTTGCTTGCATTCAGCAACTGAGGCTGATGATTAGAAAACATAGCACATTTGAAGTGATCTTGTTAAGATTGTAGGCAGCCTCAAAAGTCATGAATAGATGTCATGAGTGAGGGCCCAAACAACGATGAAAGTATGCATCGCGCATTGGCCAGCCAATCAAACTCTGCTGCACATGACATGCCGTTTTCCGCGTTTTTGACAGGCAACTCTACTGCGTACGTAGTAAGGCGTAATTCGGGGCGCGCTGCTGAAAAGTCGAGGCTGCCCCGTGTCGACGTGAAAGATTGTGATGTGACATCCAGAACCACAGGCGATCGATGTGGGTCAACGTGGGGCAGTTCCGTTCCGGGTTAGTACCAACACCGACGGCGGTTGTACCCGTCCCTCCTGCATTCTTCATCTCCTTTCACACTGCACCATCGGCGCTGTCGATAATAATGCAACAACCATTTATCCCGTCACATTCGCAATTTCGCGCTTCGACTGTAATCGGTGATCGCAATACCTGACTAATTGGAACTTGCTACTGCATCGCTCGATCACTTGGCGATGGCCCATTCGTGGTTACTTGTACGCGTTATGCGACTCGGCAGACACCAGCCATGTCGCGCATGAGAGGCACATGTGTTTGTACGATTGAAAGTATTATAATTATGTACCATCTCGTATAACAGTCTATCCGCGCTGACCCGGAACTCCAGCCTTCGCAAATAGATAGACCGAGTCGCAAAGTACCGCTGTAGCGCTTACTGCGAACATGCTACACCCATCTTGTCTTCAAGCCACCAAGCACACTCAAGCTGCGCAAGCCGTACCAAGCTCAAAACACCCAAAGAAATCCAGACTGCGCAAATCCCCATCTATAATTTCGTGCAGTACGCGCTGTGAATCTTGTAGTCGAACGTGCCCAGATCTCCAAACACCGACGCCTGGTCCTTGCTGCCACATTCCATCTTCTGGCCGTTGGCAGGACAGTCGTGGCCACTAGTGGAAGTTAGTTTCTAACGGTCTTTCCAAGTAAAAGGAGACTGATGGGTATGACGTACGTGTAGAACTTGCAGTGGTAGCCCTTCTCGACGGTGACGCTGCGGATCTTGCCATCGAAGTTGCCAAAGATGTTGTTCATGTCGGTGCAGAAGTCGTTGGCGGGTATGGCAGTTGACCGGCCATTGAAGTTCTTGTCGGTGAAGATGGTGGCTCCGCGACCGTCCGCTGCAGCCTGCGGAATGTTAGTATGATAGAAGGAAGGTAGCTTTGGCGTGGTAGTCTTTGTTACGTACGGTCGGTACAGCAGCGACAAGCGTGCTCAAGAGAGCGATGACGGGGATGAAAAGCTGCATTCTGGAAATCCTATTGGGTTGATGGTTCTGGTAAATCGAGAGATCGTCGAGACTAAGTAGAGAGTGGGAGTTGCGGGTTTATTTCGGCGGAGGCGTACGTTCTTTAATATAGGGAGAGCGCGGGCAGAGAAGGAGCGAGGCGTGGTCATTACTGCTTATGACGCTAGCCCTGGTAGTGAGATGAACATCATTCTTTGTCCCGGATGAGTGAAGCGGCTGTGGCCCAAGCTTCCGAATCGAGCGGAGACTGCATTGCCTATACTTATGTCGTGAATGCTAACGGTTTTTCGGTGGCAGGCGCTGCCGCTAGTTGTTTATATTGCGGCGCAGGCGTTCCCGCTGTTCGGTAGGGTAGCCGCATCAGGAAGTTTGTAAGATCCCTCGTCCAACACGCACTAGACGAGGCGCGGATGTGCCCAACATAGCCGGAATAGCACGATGACTTGTTGGAAGATTGAAAGATTGCGGTATTCAAACAATCGAATACAAGGTGAGTTGATGATTGGGCGTCTCTTTCTGTGAGGCAATACTATTGCATGCCCTCGCGGACTTTGTCGAGCCATTACCGGCACCTCACACAAGAAAAAAACTGGACAGGTCTGCAGACTACATTAAGATAAAAGCGTGCAGATTAACCCACCCCTCGATATTGTATGCTCCAGAGTGTTCAGAGTTTTTCTTATATGCGGTGCAGACTGCGACGAGGCTACTGGACTATGAATGGAAGAGATGGAAGAGATGGAAGAGATGGAAGAGATGGAAGAGATGGAAGAGATGGAAGAGATGGAAGAGATGGAAGAGATGGAAGAGATGGAAGAGATGGAAGAAACTAACCACAACGAGACCATCCACCGTAAACTGGATGACGCCGCTACCTCATCCCAACAACGCAACCTTCATGTTCATACACAATGCTGGAATGAGAAAAATCTCACTCGATGTAAATGACCTCTCCATCGCTTCTGCAGTCTGCATGCGGTGTTACTTCCCCGGATGCGATTTCCCTTTTCACCCCGGTAGTCTTCTCTTGGATCGAACAGACACCGAATGCCAGTCCGATCCTCCTGTAATGGGCTCCGACAGACTGGAAAATGATGAATGAGAGAGGTTTGGTACCACTCCATTTTCCGTTCATATATTCATCTTCCTCGAGATATAATGCCTTGACGGTGTTGGGCGACACAGAGTCTGTGAGCTTTGTGTCGAGCCACAACGTAAAAGCGATTTCAGTGTCATCGCCAAT